AACCCTAAGCCCGTAAACCCTAAACCTAGACCCTAAACCCTAAACCCTAAGCCCTAAACCCTAAACCCTAAACCCTAAACCCTAAACCCTAAACCTAGACCCTAAACCTTTTGCCTAAAAGCAGCTCCTACCAGAGGCCCTGGCAAGCCCTGCTTCGGTTTACTAAGCCCTTCATCAAAAAACCGTGGAAGAGAGATCCTGACGGGTTTAGGGTTTCAAGGTTTAGGGTTTTTGTTTTTAGGGTTTAGTGTTTGAGGGCTTAGAGTTTAGGGTTTAGGGTCTGGGGTCTGGGGTCTAGGGTTTAAAGTTTAGGGTTTCGGATTTAAGGTTTAGGGTTTAGGGGACTGACCTCTGATCTCTTCTCAAACCTCACACGGGACATGAATCGCTAATCGCCGACTAAGCTGCAAGTACAATCACTTTCCCAGGTTGCTTTCAATGTACTGTATCTCTACCATCCAGCCACATCTGCAGGGTCATCATGCCCCTGACATACTTGCGTCTGACTTCTGCCCCTTGCACCCAAAGCCCTAAACCCAAAACCCAAAACCTGAGACGACCAAACTCCCACTCGCAGAACGCCCAACATTTTCAGGGCTACGCCAGGATAACTGGATCCAGAGGCCCTGTGGGTTCAGCCATACTGGCGTTCGAAAAGCCCACTGCGCTGAAGTGTTTCAGCTCCTTGCACACAGATTTGGGGTTATATAGGGTTTAGGGGGTTTAGGGTTTCCCAACATTAGGGGTACCTTTAGAGGGACTATAGGGGTTCATAGGGGATATATAGGGTTTAGGGTTTAGGGATTAGGGTTTCCCAAAATTATGGGTCCTACTTCGGGGACCCCCATAGCAAGGACTGTAGAACTTGAGGCCTATATCGGGGTCCTGCTATTTGGCTAAACTACCGTTTAGGGATCAGAGTTTCAGAGTATTCTGTCAGACTTGTTGTAAGGTTTAGGATTTAGGGTTCTAGGGCTGAGGGAACATCCCACTCCAAAAAACGAACACCCGCAGCCGCGAGAAGGATATATCCCCCTAACGTACAGAGATACTCTAAATCCTATAAATGCTAAACCCTACGAACCCTAATCCCTAACCCTATATGCCCTGAACCCTAAGGCCTCAAGGTACATCTTATAACTGCTTATGCATGGCTTCAGAGTTAGGGTTTATAGGGTTTAGGGTTTAAAGGGTTTCTGGTTCAGAATGTATAGAGTTTAGGATCTATAGAGCTCAAGGTTTATAGGGTCTATAGGCTTACTCTAAGGTTAGAAGTATGGGCCCCTAATATGGGCCCTTAGGCCCTGTGGGGAGTTCTGGGGACTCTTGGGTGGAGTATATGATAGGCAAACAAGGATTCCAGGGTTCAGGGCCCATGCTAGAGGGGGGCCCATGGTTTCAACCTTAGATTTAAAGGATTTAGGCTTTATACGGTTTAGGGTTTACAGGGTTTATGGGATTTAGTGTTTATAGGGTTTAGGGTCTAATAGGGTTTGCGGTTTATGGGGTGTAGGCCCTGGAACCCCGGAAAGAAACGGCAATCAAGCTTCACATTTGGATTGTTTGGTGAGGAACAAAATCATTTCCTAGGACTTTCAAAAACGACACTTACAGAAATCTATGGCCCCTTGGACCCCTAACAACGAACCCCTCACTGTAACAATGATATTGGTGCAGCACGCCTTGCACTGATACTGGTACTTGAGATTTCAACTGACAAGCACAGGCTTCATCTCAGACTAAGGACGCTTGATCGGTGGAAATCCCGTTCCGACTAGCATTAAATCCTCCACTCCCTCTTCTCTTAGATACAGTATGCCCACTGTGGTATACGGTGTACTCTCATCATCATCTTCATAGTGAAAATCCAACATTAGGAGGGCAGGGAATAGGGGAGGTGAATAAGATTCTGGGATTCCCAGGTGCTGGGTATAATGAAAAAAAACCCAACATCATGGAGTCTAGAGTTTATAAGGCTCCCACCTACCTTGATCTCACCTCCCCAACCCCCTGAACTTCCTGTCCTGCAGTGCTGACATACTCCGGAGCGTTGTAGACCAGTCGCGGCCGTACCTCAGTCACTACTAGCCTAGGCCCTCATTGCAGTAGAACACCCCTATCCCAAACAACACGAAGGATCCCTAAATTCTGTTGGGCCCACGTACATTCGATTCAAGTAGGCCTCCGAGTCTGCGGGGACCGGAACAGTGAACTCCCCAAAAGACAAGGACTTCAAAGGAAGCAACTCATCTTCAGTAACGAACCTCGGTTGGCATCTGCGTGGAGACCGTTGAAAACGGTTACTATATAAAGCACCCATGACACTAATACGAGAAAATATTCAGAAAACACAGATTAAATTCCCGCTCGGGTACCACCCTGCATGCTTCAAACGATCCGTCTCGTACTTCCAAGTCTTCTTTTCGTGATAGTCGAAGAGCACGAAGATGTGTAACGGGACGTCATATTTGTTCAAGCTGTTGACTGCGCGCGAACCGCGAATCGCCGTGGTTGTATGTCTGCCAGACCGCCATACAGTAAACAGGTGCTGGACAGGCAAATAATCCTTGTTTGTTCTTAAGGGCAGAAACCCGAAATGGAACTATCATCACAGCGGAGGGTTCTCATGTTGGGACGACCCTAACCACATCACCCCCGTTTTGGGTCTGCTGAAATTTCCATGAACGCCCTATTTTTGACAGCTGAAACTCAAGCTGCCAAAGCGCTTGTGGTTGGGTACTGCCCCTCACCCAATTACAATCTAACATTGGGGGTAGAATTTGTGGCTTCATTTAATCCTGCTTTCATAGAGATTCTCCTACTGCTGCTGCGTGGGTGCAATATCCAAGCCGGTTTTTGTAAGGGTCCAAGGACCCAAATAATGACTATACTCTGAATGGTATTTGGACCTAAAACCTTAGTGTTCCGTCTTTGGACCCTTAAGGTTCAAAAGCAGGGCAAGTTTGTTAAGCTACGGGAAGAGTCCGCAAATGCAAATCACATCTATGGCACCATCTTTGGCAAAGACGCCTTACACCAGGGTATCTGCACTTAGTGTTTAGGGCCGGGTTTAGGCTTTAGGGTAAAAACACGCAAACAGCCTTGTCACCCAAAAAGCACAACCATGAATTGGTCCTGGATAGGACAAGAACACGAACAAGCGTTTCTTGTGAGAAGCAGGCTAGAGAAACCACATGTGGATCCCAACCCCAAAAAACAAAATGATCTGAACCCTGAAACCCTTTTACATCCGCAGAAGTGTCGATGTTGTACCCATTCAGCTGCAGGGCCAGCATCAGAGAGGCATTGCGCAGCCTGTGCAGGTCCCAAGAGAAGACAGATAGGTCCTCAGCTGCTTCAAAACCCCAAGGTTCCATGTAGGCATGTGTGATATATACCTGGGGCTCAGAAAGGTTCCCAAGTAAATGCTGTCTAGGCCGAAATACATACTTACATGGCCCCTGGCAAAGAATCCAGAAGCATTACGGGCCTTGTCGCAAAGTGGAGCGCGGAGGAGCCAGAGATCACAGGTGTCTCGAACATGGGAAGCTCGTTTCGGTGAGACCCTCCTCTGTTGCTCTCTCTGTCTTGCTCTCTTGCTCTCTCGCTCGATTTCTGCGGTTACTGTTGAGGCGATGGCAATTGGTTTCCTCGTCGCCAGCAACACGCTCTCGCTCTCTCTCTCTCTCTCGCTCTGTGTCTCTCTTCTCCCTCTCCCTTGACAAGTCTGACGCGGGCAAACCCTCTGAAATGATGACGGGTAGAAGAAGTGCGGAGCTTGAGGCTGAGCGACTATGTGGAAAACAACTCACTCTTTAAAGACCTACATACTGCATGGACGTGCCGCCTGGCATCTAAGTCGCAGTCATGTGGGATCTGACCGCCATGACGCACAGCTCCCAAGAGGGTACCTCTGCTGCTCGCAAAGTAGGGGTGCGAGCTTCGTGAAACGAGCATGAAGCTTACTGGTGCTCAGGAGGGTTTAGGGCTTAGGGGTGATCCGCATAAGAATCCTGCTGCAGTCTCTCGAAAATGGTGCCTGTGTTGACGCCCTCACTCCACCTTAAGCGCCCTAAAGCCTAAACCCCCAAACCCCTAAGCCTTAAAACAGCAAGTACAACAAGCGGCCTGCCTAGACTACACTTCCCTTAGCAGAGCCGACCTTGGGTTCCTTTGTTAGCTATAGGCTAAGCTCCTTTAAGGGGCTTATATAGGGGATTATGTAGGGGAGTATTATTGGGGGGTGCATTAAGGAGGATACTAGGAGTTTAGACTATTGCTCATACGGACCTCTGTAGAATTACCATCATCCCTCGTAATCGCTGTCAGCGGGCAAGGGCCGAGCCTAAACCCAACCTGAGCTTTCAAGCTTATAGTCCCCCTGAAGTAGATAGAATATGGAGTATCTGGGGTTCTATTATAATGTACCCAAAGCCGTATTCTATCTACTTAAGGGGACTGTATGTCGTGAAGGCAGGCTTACGGATGTCTCTAGTAAGAAAGAGACAACTGAGAGATCGAAACAACAATGTGGGCATTTCTAAGTCCGCTGAGTAAACCCCCCCACATAATCAAAACCTTCCTCTGAAAGGAATACAACCCTAGAGCCTAAAGCCCAAACCCTACACTCAGCAAGGATTCCCCAGAAAAGACCCTGACGGTTAGAAAGCCCTAGCCAAGCACTGGCAAGTCACCATGCGATGCAAACCACTGCACACCAAACTGCGAAAGCACTTGCCTTGACTTACTCATAGGGGTTTAGGGGAAAAGGCTCTAGGGACTAGTAGGGGTCCTTAGTAGGGAATAAGGAACGTATCCATATAGTAGCCACGATATAGCCCCCTATCATATGAGGCTAAACTGCTAGTATCCCCTTCATAACTCGTATAGAATTCCGCTATAGAATTGATTCCCTATATAACCCCCCTTCAAGGAATATAGACTGTGGTTCATACAGTAGCTCCCGTTTTCTTTTCCATCCTCCACTCCCTAGCCCCAACCCCCCAACACTAAACTGAGTTATTGTGAAGGAACTTAAGTAAAATCTCTCCAATTAATCAGGGAACCCAATTATTCACAATCTACCCATGTTATGCTGACTTAGTTCAAGTTTCTTACCAGCAACCCAGTAGACAGAAGTTTCTGGTGCTTTTTTTATGTACGCCAGGCAGCGGGTCATTGGACAGGCCAAGGTGCCCCAAACCCAAGACCCTGAGCCCGCAAACCTTACTTATCCCCTCACCCTGGTACCAAAAAACAACCTAAACCCCAAGCCCCAAACCCTAACCCCAAACCCCAAATCCTAAACCCCAAACCTTAAACCCTAAACCCCAAACCCTAAACCCTAAACCCCAAAACCTACATGAAAAGGGATGATTGACAGGCCAAGCGGCCCGACGGTTTTCAGCATGCTGTACGTTCGCAAGGCTCTAGAGCCGCTGATGGGATCCGTGTCAGGCTTGCCCTGGGTTTACTGGGTTGCTGTTTCGGGTTTAGGGTTAATGTAGACACGTGATTAATCAACCCCCTCCTTTTGAATGCACAGGAGGGGGTTTCTTAATCATGGGTCTAGGTTAAGGAAGTTAATTTAAATTACCGTAATGGGTACATGTAGTAAACAGTAGGGATTCCCCAATATAGTAACTTAAAGTAAGTTTCTTGGCAGCAGCCCAGATGGGGGTTAGGGTTTACTCCGCATGCGCCCGCCCCCCTCACTGAAGCCACAGTGCAGAACGTAAAACATAACCAAAAACGCGGGCTCCGCGGATGCGCGTGTTGGCTTAGCTTCCGCACTCACTTCAATGGGTTATTTATTCCGTTCAGATGTATCACCTGTCATTTCTCCCGCAAGCTTTGCCGCAACCAGGCATTCAAAACGAGACGAACCCCTCTTGAAAAACCGAGTTCTGGCTAGGGCCGGGCCCACGATCAACGTAGGAAACGCTGTATGACAATACTATATCATAGTATAACATCCTACTATATACTAATTATAATATAACAGAAAAGACTATAACATAACAATACTATTTGGGGTTTAGGGTTTAGGGTACCCTAAACCCTACACCATATATACTATGAAGCAAGCCCTGTGTCCAGGTCAAAGCATGGACTCTCCACGACATCGGCAGTGTTCAGCACCAAGGGTATGGAGGCAAATCGTTCATCTCCTGCTAGAGGGTTAGGGTTTAGGGTTTAGGGTTTAGGGTTCAGGGTTTGGGCAACTTCGAAAATTGTAGACTTCGAAAATTGTAGACTCTCAATGAAACGTCCCGTGTCTTGTTCGCACTTGTGTACTGTAGGTGCCTGAGGAACCGGTCCTTGGAGCTAGTGTGCCATCAAGACTCCTGATTTCTGGGGCTTTCACCTCAAAGGTTTTTTCCTATACCAAGAATTTGGAGGTCTACGTATATAACCTAACCCAACTATACAAGTAATTTCCCGGACCCTTAGGAAGTTGTCATGCGCGCTCAGGCTTCAGCGTTGCTGGCCTTGAACATCTGCCAGTGCCGTGGAGTTGGAAAACTCCGTGTCTTTCATGGTCTTGGCAGAGTCGATCAGAGCCTCAAGGGGTGGGTTCGGCATCAGGGATTAGGGTTTTTAGGGATCGGATTTAGGGATTAGGGTTTAGGGCTTCGGGATTTAGATTGGATTTTAAGGCTTTGAGTTCAAGCGTTCGGGAACCCTGTACTACAAGTACTGGTAGCAAACCACAAGTACTAAATTGTGAGACACACGGACCCTAAACCCCAGACCTTATATCCTAAACCATAAAACCTTTAGCCTAAACCCTATACCCTAAACTATAAATCCTATAGCCTATTCCCTAAACCCTACACCCTATACCCTAAAACTATAAATCCTATAGCCCATGTGGAGGTAGCTGAAGAGCCTTAGGCAACCTCCTGGACGATTACACCCGTCTAATACTGTTTATTCCCAATATATTTTCATATACCACAATGGCAGTATTCAATATGAGGCGGGGGGAGGCTATACACCCGCTCAAGCTACAAGCTAAATTGAGAGCCCTCTGCACCCCTACACTCCTATATAAACCCTATGAATACCTAATCCCGAAACCCTAAACCCTAATCGGATGCCTCGATACGTCGACTCCTAAGCTCAGGGAGCTCTGCAACGAGGTGCAGCAAGCCTGCTATTGTCCTTGCTCAGGGGTTTGGGATTTAGGCTTTCGGGAATGAAGGGAGTTAGGGTAGAGAGTCAGGATCTAGGAATTAGGGATTGACGTTATTTACAAGGGGACTAGAGTTCAGACGTGTATGTTGGGCGCTGGAGGACAATGACTTGGTGTGGACACGTAAAGCCCAGCAGAGGTCTCAAAAACAGGGGTAACCTACGAGGACTTACAGCGATACAACAAGTAGGGTTTACGAGGAGATGACGGAGGTACACCATCCGCATATTCAATAAACAAGCAATTGTGCAACGCATCATTGTCGAACTTGTCCCACTTCCAAGATATGGAAAACACAAAAAAAATCCCATCCTAAACCCTATATTGCCGCGGCCCATTTAATTGGAATATGGCTTTACGGTGTATTT